CCTACTGGACTTCTGCTCACACTGCACTGGCCAGACCATGGCCACCCCTAGCCCAGGAAGGTTGAGAAATATAGTCCTTTTTCTTTTTCTTTTAAGACAGAGTCACTCTTGTCACCCAGGCTGGAGTGCAGTGGTGCTATCGGCTTACTGCAGTCTCAATCTCCCAGGCTCGAGTGATGCTCCCACCTCAGCCTCCTGAGTAGCTGGGACTGCATGCACATACCGCCATGCCCAGCTAAGTTTTTGTTTTTATAGAGACAGGGTCTTGCTATGTTGCCCAAGCTGATCTTGAACTCCTCCCACCTCAGCCTCCCAAAGTGTTGGGATTACAGGCCTGAGCCACTGTGCCTGGCTGAGAAATGTAGTTTTTATTGCAAGCGGCCACATGCCCAGCTGGATTGTCAGTTTTTACTTAAAAAAGGGAAGACTGGCGACTGGAGGACAGCCAGCCGTCTTTCTACACGGGTCACGTGTTCTTCAGCCTGATGTTGGTGCCTGATATTTTAAAATTTTGAGTTTACGAATGAGATCCTTGCTATTCACTCATAGCCACATTGATTTCTTTTGTTGCCTCTGCCTTTCCTTCCTCATTAGGATATTTTGCCTAGCAGAGACAGGGTTCAATTCAATTGCTGCTTTTCTTTGCAGAGTCTCTTTCCTAAATGCCTTTATACTCAAGTGTGGGACAACACCTGGCTGTGCTGCCTCCCTGTCCCTGCAAGTGACAAAGTCTCTGTTGGCAAATTGTCCTGAATCCACCATTCCATATCTTTGTCAGAACTTCGTCCAAAGCAGTAATTTCTCTCTCTCGGGAAATGGAAAGCAACCTCCAGGGAAGGTGGGAACTTGTTGCACACCTTGGTGGTAGGCAAGTAGGATGCCCCTGTAGATAAGGTCCTTCCCACCCCATTCCTGCTGTGTCCTAGAGATAGTGCCTTTATGATCCAGGCCAGGACTTTCTCTCATTCTCTCCTAAATGACAACTGCTCCTCAAGTTACACCCTCAACATGTAAGCCCTCGGATTTGAGGATTTCTGAAGCAGGCAAGTAGCTTCTTAACACCCTTCCTAAGGCTGGGCACAGTGGCTCAAACCTGTTATCCAAGCACTTTGGGAGGCAGAGATGGGTGAATCACTTGAGGCCAGGAGTTCAAGACCAGCCTGGGCAACATAGAGAGACTCCCCACCATCTCTACAAAAATTAAAAAAAAATTAGCTGAGCATGGTGGCACGCAACTGTAGTCTCAGCTACTTGGGAGGCTGAGGTGGGAGGCTGAGGTGGGAGGACCCCTTGAGCACCGAGGTCAAGGCTGCAGCGAGCCAGGATTGCGCTACTGCACAGCAGCCCGGGCAACAGAGGCCCCATCTCAAACAAAACAAAACAACAAAGCAAAACACCCTTCCTAATAAGTCTGCCTCTTTCAAATATCCTCCTAAGACCATATCCAATCTTAGTCTCATCACATCATTTTGGTTCCACCCATGAGATCATATTTACCATGCTGTGTTCTGGCTTTATCTTAGACTTGCTCATGACTCACACACTGTCTGCACACAAATGCAGAACAGCTTAGAATCAGGTCTGGAGCAAATTTTGAAACCCTTGCTATGTGTTACGTGAGAAACATAGAGCTGAAAGAACTAAGGGCGCCTGGCTTAGAGAAGGGAAGCCTGCATGGGCATCATCTTCAAATAGTTGAAGGACTGTCGTGTGGAAAAGCGATTAAAACATTTCTATAAGTTTTAAGATTTGACTTTTTAAAACTAACGAGCAAGTATTACTTTGGTAAGTAGGAAAAAGGACAACAACGATATGTATATGAGATGAGGCCCATTCAGAGTGGCCCAGAATGGCAAAACTGGTTTGGATCAAAGCAAAACATATTTTGATGCAAATCAAAAAAGAACCTTCTCAGAAGTGGAGCTCTCCAATGTGGAGTAGCAATGAGGGGTGTGAGGTTCTTATCTGGATGAGATTTAAGCGAATGACGAATGACCGCTTGATTTTAAGCAGAATAGAGGGTTAACAAAGTGACTATGCTAGGCAATGTCCTTTTCATTACAAAGAGGAACCTTCTCAATTAGTTTAGGTTAGAGGAGATTTCTGGAAAGAATTTGGCTCCCATGGAATCCAAGGAAAAGCAGAACAACTGGCTGTAGTAAGGGAGGGAATGAGATCAGCTCCAAGCCATAGTCCCACCGTGGTGACTCAGCTCCCAGCTCTGTTTCTGGGTTTTATAATTCATATTCCTTCCCGAGAAGCCGAAAGGCCATTGGCAAGAGTACAGATTTGGCGTGCCCTGAGTCAGGCGTTCAGTCCTGGTTCAATAGCAAATCACTCATGGGAATGGAGTCTCATGACTCAAACACAAAAACATGGTGACAGAGCCATCCATGCAGTGGGTGTAAACATTCTCAGAAAAGCTTAATGGGGAGGTAGACACCCTCAAAATGATGTTTAAGGTCCTGTCCAACCTGGGGGCTCACTAATCCCGAGTCAAAAGTAATTTTAAGCAGATGATAGTCTTCATGTGGTTGCAAAGAGGTCAGGACTAATTAACATTCAGCTGAAGGCATGAGCTTGAATTAAATTGAGGGGGCAGCAGAGGTAAGCGCAGGGCCATGGGAAGAAAGGGGCAGAAGCGGGGGTCAATGTAGCCCACTGGTCAACTCACAGACCTTGGCAGGTTGCCTACTGGGACATGCATTGTCTAGGACAGAGTTACCCATGGGCTGAATTACAAGTTATACAGCATCTGTGTCCCCACAGGTTTTTTTTTTTTTTCCCATGCCATTTAAAAAATAAACTATTAAATTTTAGAATAGTTTAGACTTACAAAATGTTGCACCAATGCTACCGAGCTCCCATATATCCCACAACCGTTTTCCCCTACTGTTAATAGCTTACACTACTATGTGCTATGGTCTGAATGTTCATGTCTCCTCAAAGTTCATATGCTGAAACCCTAGCCCCCAAGGTGAAGGTATTAGGAGGTGGGGCCTTTGGGAGGTGATAAGGTCATGAGGGTAGAGCCCACATGAATGGGATTAGTGTCCTTATGCAAGAGCCCCAGGGATCTCACTAGCCTCTTCTGCCATATGAGGACACAGGGAGAAGGTACCACCTATGAGAAACAGGCTCTCACCAGGCACAGCATCTTCTAGCACCTTGATTTTGGACTTCCCAGCCTCAAGAGCTATGAGAAATACATTTCTGTTGTATATAAGCTATCCTGTATGTGGTATTTTGTTATCAGCCAAAACTAAGACACAAGGGTATATTGTGAGCCCTATATTCAAGGGGCTTGCAGTCTTCTAGGGAAGGCCACTGGTCATGGAATGAGCGTGCAGGGAGTCCAGAGAAGGGGGTCAAGGGCAGTCCTTGGGCTGTTCCATGACCCAGTTGGTGGAGCTGAGGCCAACAGATGGGCAGGGAAGGGGCAGAGGGCCAATCCTGGGAGAGGACTGTGTAGTCCACATCAACAGGGCACCCTGCCCACAGCCCAAGGACAGCTGGAGAAGGTGGCAGTGACTGAGGGAGGGCTGCAGAGAGAAGGCAAGAGCCTAGTTGGAGCTACAGGAGTCATGCCAAGCCTCCACTCTGTGGAGCTAAGGGAAGAACACAGGTCCTGAGGATGGGGATCCAGGTCAGCCTGTGGGGGTCACAAGGAACAAGGCTGCTGCCCACTGGAACTTTGCTGCCCAAACTCTGTGGCGGAAAAGAAGCAGGACCTGGCTCGCTGGTGCTGAGCTGAATAACTGCTGCCCAGGGTTCCATCCTCCCGCTGCCCTAGGTCAGGGCCAGCCCGAGCTGGGAAGGAAGTTGGACCTGGCAGGTAGGGGTGAGGGTGTAGTGGCCCAGCAGCCACAAGGGCAGGGTGCATCACAAGTCCTGGAAACCAAAGCTGCTGGGTAAAATGAGGTAAAATGGGAGCAGGACAGGTGGTAGGGAGATGGAGAGGGCATGCTGGTGATGGGAACTCCAGAAATGAAGGCAGGGGAGGGATGTCAGGTCTCACCTAGTGGTACAGAGGGCTTGGGGTGGGGAGGAAAGGCAGGGAAGGAGGTGAGGGTGGGCCACACATCAGGGTTCCCTGGACACCAGCAGCCCAACAGAGAGGCTCTACATCACAGTTTGTGTCATGACCTGAAAATACAGAAGATGCATGAGGGGGCTCCCCTCAGATGGGCCCGGGGCACCCCTATACCACCCAGAACTAGGTGGCCTGGCTCAAATCCTGCCTCTGCCTCTTCCCAGCTGTGTCCATTTAGGCACGTAACTTAACTTGTCCGTGACTCCGATTCCTCGACGAGTGATAATGATAACACTACTTCATGGAGTTGTTGTAAGGATTGAGTTAAAATACAGAAAGCGCTGAGAACAGTGCCTGGCACACAGTGCCACATACGCATTTGCTAATATTATAGTTGGCTAGAGTAAAGCAGTTTGAACATTAGCCAATATTTCCCAAGTTGTATTCCACGAAATCTTCAACTGAGACACTTCCATCGAAAAGGTTCTTATGGGCCAGGTACAGTGACTTATGCTTATAATTCCAACACTTTTGGAAGCCAAGGTGGGCAGACCACCTGAGTCCAGGAGTCTGAGACCAGCCTGGGCAACATAGCAAGACCTCATCTCTACCAAAAAAAAAAAATATATATATATACACACACACACACATACATATGTGTATATATACACACACATACATACATATACACACACATATACATACACATATATATATAAAAATCAGCTGGACATGATGGCACGTGCCTGTAGTCCTAGCTACTTAGGAGGCTGAGGTGGGCGGATCGCTTGAGCCTGAGAGATTGAGGCTGCAATAAGCCATGATCGCTTCACTGTACTCTAGCCTGGGTGACAGAGTGAAAAGGTTTTTATGGTCAAGTAAATTTGGAAAAAGCCTTATATCCACACCAAGCTCTGACAAGTTCACAGTTAAAAAATAAAAAATAAAAAAATAAACAAACAAAAAGTCTAAACAGCCCTCTCTAAGTTTATTTAACCCAGTGGTTCCAAACCTAGTCCATTATGGAACCCTCTGAACGCCTCCCAGGACAGTGTGCCATGGGACCTCAGTTTGGGAAGCGCTCTGAGGAAAGGTGGGAAGGGAGTCTCTGAAAGCAGAGAAAGGGGCGACACCACCTGGCAGGGGAAGCCACAGAGAGATCCTAGTGCCCAGGAAGTGGGGAGGGGAGGAGGTTTTGGTGTGCGGCCCACAACAGAAGGGAAGGGGCATGTGAGGGACCCCAGGAGAGGGGGGATAGAGAGGACCAGGGTGATATTTGGATGTGGAGAGGAAATGGGAGGAGGCAGAAGTGACCCTGAGAATTCACACTGGGGGAGGTAGGAAATGGGGGAGCAGAAAGGGGGATGGAGTGGGACATGTCCTTCTTTATGTTCCCACTCACTCTCTGCACACTCACTCCATGACCCCTTCCCAATTGTGGGATTGAGCTGGGTCTAAGTCCTGTGGCTTCCCTGAAGAGGGCCCTGGGAAAGGGAAGGTGGGGACAGATGCTTCCTGGGGGAGAACAGCCCTCAGAAGCACAGAAGCACAAACATATTCTGTCCTTACTATGCACAGATCGTGTGGTTGTAAAACCGACAGCAGTTGTCCAGGGCCTCTGGGCTGAACTCTGGGTTGATGCTAAAAAGAAAGCAAAGATTGTAGTGTGAGCTCCAGGCCTGGCTCTGCTGGCCACAACCAGGCTGTGCAACACTGGGAACATTGCTTCAAGTCTCCGGTCCACCCTTCCTCCATTGATCCTCGAGCCTTCACTTCCCCATCAGCTGCAGCCATAACATTTCTACCCTCACCCTGGTACCAAAGGCATTCCCCCAAGCACTCAGGCATTCTGTCCATCACTGTGGGTCCCATGCAGGTCCCACAGCCCAGGCCCTCACCTCTGGAAGGCCTCACGACAGCACTGGTATATTTCAAAGCTACTGCTGCTGAGGGTCATGTTCAGGAGGGACATGCAGTCGACTTCAGCCCCCCTGGGCACATAGAGGATCCCTGTGGAGGAAAGTGGTGGGTGGACAGGGCCCCTGGGCTAGCCAGAAAATCAGGGTTCCACCTTCTGAATCTGCTAGGCCTGCACTCACCTGCCATACAGGCATTCACCAGGGACACACAGGCTCCCGTGAAGAGTGCCCGGAGCACTATCTGGGAGAAGTCGCTCTTCCGTTGGGGGACCATGGAGGCTGCAAGGGGACAGAAGTGCTCAGGGCCAGGGAAGCTATGTCCCTGTCTGCCCATGTTCTGCAGCTCTGGCTGCATCGCTGATCTCCCTTCCTCTTCTACTAATAGATGGCCAGAGGGACAGATGTTGCCCTCCTGACCACTTGCTGAGCTCAGGAGTCCTCTTTGGCTTGGACCCCTAGGCAATGCCCCACATCTCCCCACACACCATGAGTGGCAGATGCAGGAAAAGAATGTGAGTTTGGAGTCAGGCAGACCTGGGATTAAATACAGGCTCAGCCACTCACTAGCTGAGTGACTTGGGCTACCTCTTCACTTCTCCAAGACTCTGTTTCCTTCTTTGTAAAACGGTATGATTACACCACCAGGCAGGGTAGCTGCCAGGAGTGGAAATGTTACTTGTAAAGAACTGAGAACTGTGCAGACCCTTTGACCCTACGCCCCACCAGGCCTGCCTGCCTGTCCCCTGTGGGTGTGGGAACAGGCAGGCCAAAGCCTTGGGGACAGGCCAGCACCACACCTCCTGTCCCTGAGCTAGGCTTGGCCTTCAAGGCCCAGGTGCTAACCTCCTGGGCCACCAGCAGCAGCAGAGAATCAGGGAATTCTAGGGCTAGGAGGAAACTCTATGAAATTTTTTTTTTTTTTTGAGACAGAGTCTCACTCTGTAGCCCAGGCTGGAGTACAGTGGTGCGATCTCAGCTCACTGCAATCTCCGCCTCCTGGGTTCAAGCATTCTCGTGCCTGGGTTCAGCCTCCTGTGTAGCTGGGATCACAGGCACGCACCACCACACCTGGTTAATTTTTGTATTTTTAGTAGAGATGGGTTTTGCCGTGTTGGCCAGGCTGGTCTCAGACTCCTGACCTCAAGTGATCCACCTGCCTGGGCCTCCTAAAGTGCTGGGATTACAGGCATGAGCCACCACACGTGGCCTCTATGGCCATCTTGTTTGGGTCCAGCTTTAGACAAATGAGACACCTGAGGCCTACATGTTCCCAGCAAGTTCAAGTCTCTGACTCTCCTAGACACTGGTAAGGCCCCAATTAGACTCACTCAAGCCTCCCAGCATGATCCCAATGGAGCTGAAATTGGCAAATCCACAGAGGGCAAACGTCGTGAGGACTTCAGCTCTGACCTGAAAATACAGAAGATGCATGAGGAGGGACTCCCTTCAGATGGGCCTGGGGCACCCCTACAACACCCAGGCTCCCTGGCCTTAACTTTATCCACTTCTTACATGTAATTGACCTTCAAGCCCACTGTGCTGCGCCTTCCCCAGCCTTGGGATTCCCACCTCTAAGTTGATTCAAACCGTACCACATCAAAAACGTAGCCCTCCTCTCTTATCTATCCTTCAACCTTTTTTTTTTGAGACAGTTTTACTCTTGTCACCCAGGCTGGAGTGCAGCGGTGCAATCTCAGCCCACTGCAACCTCTGCTTCCTGGGTTCAAGAAATTCTCCTGCCTCAGCCTCCCATGTAGCTGGGATTATAGGTGCCTGCCACCACTAATTTTTTGTATTTTTAGTAGAGACAGGGTTTCACCACGTTGGGCAGGCTGGTGTCAAACTCCTGATTTCAGATGATCCGCCCACCTCGGCCTCCCAAAGTGCTGGGATTACAGGTATGAGCTACCACACCCAGCCTGTCCTTCAACTTTTTTTTTTTTTTTGAGACGGAGTCTCGCTCTGTCGCCCAGGCTGGAATGCAGTGGCTGGATCTCAGCTCACTGCAAGCTCTGCCTCCCGGGTTTAGGCCATTCTCCTGCCTCAGCCTCCCGAGTAGCTGGGACTACAGGCGCCCGCCACCTCGCCCAGCTAGTTTTTTGTATTTTTTAGTAGAGACGGGGTTTCACCGTGTTAGCCAGGATGGTCTCGATCTCCTGACCTCGTGATCCGCCTGTCTCAGCCTCCCAAAATGCTGGGATTACAGGCTTGAGCCACCGCGCCCGGCCCCTTCAACCTTTTAATCTTCATTACCAGCCTTTCTGGATGGGGTTCAGCCTTTCTTAGTCCTCTTGCTTTGGCCCTACTAAGCTCTGTCCTAGGGCCATTTGGTGGACAGCCCCTTCCCTGACCCTGCAGTCCTGGGCTTCCAGTTCACAGCATTCCTGTGAATGCTCTCAGGCTGAGAGAGGGAGTGTGGTGCACAGGAAACAGTAAGGGATTTGGACCCCAGCCAGCCTGGTTTCTAGGATTGTCTCACCAACCATCAGCTTGAGCAAGTCAGTTACTTCTTTCAGTGTCAGTTTCCCTGTCTGGAATAGGGGAATAATAGTACTTGCCTGAGAGGGCTGTAAAAAGGATTATATAATGTATGGGAAACACCAGACAGAGAGTAAGTGTTTAAACATGATAGTTATTCCTTTTGTTCTTAACAACTGTCCTATTTCCCAGAAAGAAGTTTTAAGAGCCAAAATGAAATAATTTGAAAACAAAATTGGTTTATGAGTACAAAAAAATAGAATGGAACGAATAAGAGCTAATATTTTATAGCACAACAAGGTGACTATAGTCAATAATGACTTAATTGTACATTTAAAAATAACTAAGAGTATAATTGGATTGTTTGTAACACGAAGTATAAATGCTTGAGGGGATGGATACCCCATTCTCCATGATGTGCTTATTTCACATTGTGTGCCGGTATCAAAGCATCTCATGTACCTCATAAATATATACACCTACTATGTACCCACATAAATGAAAAATTACTTTAAAAAATTGGTATAGAGCCTCCCCTCACACTATATAAAAATTAATTCTCGATAAATATTAATATTTTAAGCATAAAATGATAGAAAATATAGGATAATAAATAGAACTACAAGGTAGTATTATTACTCTTATTTTGGAGAGGAGCAAACCGAGGCTCAGAGAAGTTAACTAACTAAGGAAGTTCACACAGCAAGAAGGTAGCTGTATCAGAATTTGAACTCAGTTCTGACTCTAAAGCTCATGGTCTGAATTATCTCATCACATTATTTCAGGAATTTAACACTTTCCAGATAACTTTCTTTTTCTTTCTTTCCTTTTTTTGAAAACTTCTGCCTCCTGGGTTCAAGCGATTGTCATGCTTCAGCCTCCCAAGTAGCTGGGATTACAGGTGTGTGTTACCACACCTGGCTAAGTTTTGTATTTCTTGTTTTGCCAAACATTTCTTGTTTGCCATGTTGGCCAGGCTGGTCTCAAACTCCTGGCATCAAGTGACCCACCCTCCTTGGCCTCCCAAAGTGTTGGAATTATAGGCATGAGCCACCGTGCCCAGTCGCACTTTCCAGATAACTTTCTAAGTTTAGAAATAATGGAAGAAATCACAAAAGAAAAGATTTGGTATAAAATCTGTGTTAAAAAAACAAATCCCAAAAGCTGGGTCAAGTGAGAGCTGACAGGCACTGGGTGACTTTGTGCCTCACTGAGGAAAAATAACTAAACATGGGCAGAGGAGACCCTAAGAAGCCAAGAGACAAAATGTCATCATATGTACTCCCTGTCCAAGCTTGTTGGGAGGGACACAAGAAGAAGCACCCAGATGCTTCAGACAACTCCTCAGAGCTTTCAAAGAAGTGCCATGTCAGCTAAAGAGAAAAGAAAATTTGAAGATGTGGCAAAGGCAGACAAGGCTGGCTAGGAAAGAGAAATGAAAACTTACATCCTTCCTAAAGGGTAAAACAAAAGAAGTTCCAGCATTCCAACACACCCAAGAGGTCTCCTTTGGCCTCTTCTTGTTCTATTCCACGCATCACCAAAAATCAAAGAACATCCCAGCCTATCTGTTAGTGATGTTGCAAAGAAAGTAGGAGAGATGTAGTTATAAAACCACTGTGGAGGATAAGCAGCCTTAGAAAAAGACCCCTGTGAAGCTGGAAGAAAAATGCAAAAGGAATATTGCTGCATACCGAGCTAAAGGAAAGCCTGATGCAGCAAAAATAAGGGAGCTGTCAAGGCTGAAAAAGCAAGAAAAAGAAAGGAGAAACATGAGAAAGAGGAAGATGATGAGGAGGAAGGAAAGATGAGGAAGATGAAGATGATGAATAAGCTAGTTCTAGTAGTTTTTTTCTTGTATATAATGTATTTAAGCTCCCTCATACTAAATTCATTCCTTTTAAAGAAATACATTAAAATGTAAGGCCATGTAAGATTTGTTTTTAAACCATACAGTGTCTTTTTTTTTTGTATAGTTAACATACTACCTAATGTGTCTTTAGGTAACCCTATCCTGGTGGTATTTTCAATAGCCACCAACCTTGCCTGGTGCAGTATGGGGGTTATAAATTGGCATGGACATTTAAAGCAGGCTCTTGTTGGTGTGCAGCATAAATTAGTTATGTATGTGGACGGTAGTGCCTTCATCTTTAGTCGTCTCTGATGCAGCTTACACAAAATAATTGCTGTTCTGTTAACTAAATACCACTTGGGCTGGGCGTGGTGGCTCATGCCTATAATCCCAGCACTTTGGGAGGCCAAGGCAGAAGGATCGCTTGAGGTCAGGAGTTTGAGACCAACTTGGGCAACATGGTGAGACCCCATCTCTACAAAAAAAGCAAAAGTTAGCCAGGTGTGGTGGCACATGTCTGTAGTCCCAGTTACACAGGGGCTGAGGCAGGAGGATCACTTGAGCCCAGGAGGCAGAGGCTACAGTGAGCCGTAATTGCACCACCGCACTCCAGCCTGGGTAACAGAGTGAAACCCTGTCTCCAAAAATACATACATACATACATACATACATACATACATACATACATACTACTCTGTAATTTTTTAAAAAGTTACAGCTGTTTTGTTGACATTCTGAATGTTTCTAAGTAAATACAATTTTTTTAATTAAAAAAAACAACAAATTCCTGTGCTTGCATCTTGTGCACATATACTAAAACTTCGATGATACAAAGATTAGCATGGCCCCTACCGAGGTTGACACACAAACTCATGAAGTGTTCTACATTTAAAAACCAAAAAATAAATTTCTGTATACAACATAAATGACAAAAAAGGAAAAGGCTAGGAAAAGTATATGTAGAAAATATAACAGAAAAAAGTTAATGTCTTTATAACATAAAGAGTTGATACAACTATTATTGGAAAAAATATGAAGGTACCTGCCTCTCTGCTTGCCCACCTACAATTGCGTTCCACAGAACAGCCCCAGCCTCCCTCCCTCCCTCCCTTCCTTCCCTCTCGCTGTCCTCCTTCCTCCCTCTCTCCCTCCCTTCCTTTCTTCCTTCCTTCCTTCCTTCTCTCTGTCGTTTGTTTTGAGACGGGGTCTCACTCTGTCACCTAGGCTAGAGTGCAGTGGCAAAATCATAGCTCACTACAGCCCCAATCTCCTGGGTCCAAGCGAGCCTCCTGCCTCAGTGTCCCAAGTAGCTGAGACCACAGGCGTGCACCACCACACCTAGCTAATTTTTAAATTTTTTGTAGAGACAGGGTCTTGCTTTGTTTCCAGGGCTGGTCTTGAACTCCTGGTCTTAAGTGATCCTTCCGCTTTAGCCTCCCAAAGTGCTGGGATTACAGGTGTGAGCCACCACACCCAGCCTCCAGTCATCTTCTTAAAATTCAAAATGTCAAATCTTCAGTGATTTCCGACTGCTCCTTGGCCTGCGAATTACCACCTGCTCTAGCTGTACTGATTGCCTCTGCTCTCTAAGCATACAAAGTGCTTTTCAACCTCAGAGCCTTTGCACATGACTCTTCATTTGGAATGTTTTTCCCAGCTTGTCCTAGCTTATCCGTTCTCCAAGTTGGCTTAAATGCCACACCTCAGGGATATTTTTTCTGACCAGTCCAGCCAAGGAAGACCTGCCCTGTTTTTTTTTTCTTTTCTCTTGTTGTTTTCTTCATAGAACTTACCACAAATTGTGGTTAATTTAATTTTTGTTCCTTTGCTTGCTTGTGTTTTGCCTGTGTCTCTTACTAGATGTCGCTTCCATGAGACCAGAGCCATGTCTGTGTAATTCTCCTTTTTATCCCCAGTGCCTAGCAGAATGCTTGGCACCTAAATGGTCTCAATGAATACTTGCTGAAGGAATGAAGTTCATAAAAAAAGATCATGAAGTGCTTGCTTCGGCAGTACACATACTAAAATCAGTACGATATGGAGAAGATGAGCATGGCCCCTGCGCAAGGACGATGTGCAAATTCATGAAGCATTCCATATTTTTACACTGTGTGCCTGTATCTAAACAGCTCATGTACCCCATAAATATATACACCTACTATGTACTCACAAAAATTAAAAATAAAAATAAATAAGAAAAAACAAGAAAAGGAAAGGGCGTGCCCTCTATTAACCTGTGAGGAGGGGGTGAGATGAGACCAGAGGTGAGAGTAAGCAGTGAGGGGAAACTTGTGCTTTTTACTCTATACAAACCATTTTTTTTTTTTTTTTTTGAGACAGAGTTTCACTCTTGTTGCCCAGGCTGGAGTGCGATGGTGCGATCCTGGCTCACTGCAACCTCCCCTTCCTGGGTTCAAGAAATTCTCCTGCCCCAGCCTCCTGAGTAGCTGGGATTACATGCGCTTGCCACCATGCCTAGCTAATTTTTGTACTTTTAGTAGAGATGGGGTTTCTCCATGTTGGTAGGCTGGTCTCAAACTCCTGACCTCAGGTGATCCTCCAGCCTCGGCCTCCAAAAGTGCTGTGATTACAGGTGTGAGCCACCATGCCTGGTTTTTTGTTTTGTTTTGTTTTGTTTGAGACAGAGTCTCACTCTGTTGCCCAAGCTGGAATGCAGTGGCACAATCTTGTCTCACTGCAACCTCCTCCTCCCAGGTTCAAGCAATTCTCATGCCTCAGCCTCTGGAGTAGCTGGGACTACAGGCACATTGCACCACAACTGCTAATTTTTGTATTTTTAGTAGAGAAGGGGTTTCTCCATGTTGGTCAGGCTGGTCTCAAACTCCTGACCTCAAGTTATCTGCCCACCTCAGCCTCCCAAAGTGCTGGGATTACAGGTGTGAGCCACCGTGCCTGGCCACGAACTTGCTTTTTTAAAAAACCTAAAGAATCTATTCCTTTACAACTTAAAAAATAATTAAAAAGACAAGAAAAAGGACTTCTCATTGAAAGTTGCCAGTCACCCAAGTAATGCAAATTAAAACAATGAGCTATTGTTTGCTTATTAAAATAGTGAACCTTGTTTTTAAAAAGAAGCTACTCGATGCTGTTTAGTTGTGTGGTAAAATAAAAGCTCGCAGGCACAGCTGGTGCTGCTGATTTCAGCTGCTGCAGCCACATAAAGACTCATGTGGGAATCAGTCAGCCCACACCTGGGAATGCTACAGAAACGATCTGAGAGGAAGGAAGAGCTATATGCACAAAGATACTCATTTCAACATGTGGATAAAAACCAAATAATAGAATTGTCCGAATGGCCCAACAGCAGGGGATTGGGTAAATATGTTAGGACACATATATCAAAAATGATGCTTATGTCATAATACTAAGTAAAAAAAACCAAAAGAACAAAAATGGCTACAGCACAGTTTGGTTGCTACAATAGCAATTATGTAAACTCTCTCTCTTTCCCTCTTTTTTTTTTTTTTAAAGATAGGGTCTTGCTCTGTTGCCCAGGCTGGAGTGCAGTGATATAATCCTAGCTCACTACAGCCTCAAACTCCTGGGCTCAAGCCATCTTCCTGCCTCAGCCTCCCAAGTAGCTGGGACTACAGGCATGCACCACTGTACTCTGCAATTTTTAAAATTTTTAGTAAAGACAGGGGCTCACTCTGTTGCCCAGGCTAGTCTTGAACTCCTGGCCTCAAGTGATCCCCCCACCTTGACCTCCCAAAGTGCTGGGAATACAGGCAGGAGCCACTGCGCCTGCCCGAACTCTCTCTTAAAAAGAATGGAAGAAAATGTAAGAAACAACAATAACTATTATCTGGAATGGTGAGATTATAGGTAATTTTTTCATTCTCAATAATGTTACTATTCTTTTAGAAAGGTTAATTTTATAGAGCTTTTATAATTTTTAAAAATAAATTTTAACAGAAAGAGCCAACCCCTGCACTGAATCCATCATATTAACAGTGAAGGTGAGGCCGGGCACGGTGGCGCACACCTGTAATCCCAGCACTTTGGGAGGCCAAGGCAGGTGGATCATTTGAGGTCAGGAGTTCAAGACCAGCCTAGCCAACATGGTGAACCCCGTCTCTACTAAAAATACAAAAATTAGTTGGGCGTGGTGGCAGGCATCTGTAGTCTAAGCTACTTGGGAGGCTGAGTCACGAGAATCATTCAAACCTGGGAGGTGGATGTTGCAGTGAGCTGAGAATGTGCCACTGCACTCCAGCCTGGATGACAGAGGGAGACTCCATCTCAAACAAAACAAAACAGTGAAGGTGTTAGTGAAGTCTCCTTATCTCACTCACTCTCCCAGCTCATCGGGTGCACATGTGTATGCCTTTGGAGTAGATATGGCAGGCATCTCACCCCGTTTTCCAACAGAAGAGGAAAGATGCTGTGGCTGGCCCAAGGCCACAGTGAAAAATGACCCATCTAGAGCTAGGTTTCAGACATCCCAATCCTCTCTCCCCGCATCTCAGCCTCCTAAGAGGCCTTGAGAAAGATGGCAGCGAAGCTCGAAGCTGTCTTGTCTTCCAGGACTACAGGATGTAGGAGGTGAAGCACCACCTCAGTATGTCTCAGCCAGGCCCAGGGAGCAGGAGAGCAGCTGCCAGGGGCCCTCAGGAGTGGCTGTGCTGTGTCATCCCCCTGCCACAGGTAAGGGACTGGGAGGACTGGGACACTCACGGATATCCACTGCTTCCTGTCGCCGACCCACTCCTCGACCCCTGCCAGGCGGCGTTGCTTGTACTTGGAGAGTTCTTGATAGGCCACAAACTCATTCAGAAACAGCTTGATTCCGAGCAGCTCAGCTACCACTGGGCAGTCCTCCCACACCACACCCATCAAGAAGGCTACAGGCCGCAGGATGTAGGAACAGATGACCTGAGGGCACAAGGGTATGACTGGCACTGAGGGCTGGGCCTGGGCTCTGCTGGGCCTCCAGCCACCACTCACTGCCCACCTGGGGCCATCCTCTCTACCGACTGAGTGTGGTGGCCAGAAACGCACCTGGAAGCTGAGCCCTTGGACGTCCACCATGTCTCCCAGCCAGGAGAGGGCAGCATTGATGAAGTCCAGCACAGCCAGGAACGCAATCAGGTTGGCAGCGATGTTGGCGACCACCTTCACGGAGATGGCGGCCCCAGTGCTGGCTGCTTCTATGAGGTTCTGAGCATCTCTGTTATTGTGATCAAGAATGATCATTACTGGCCTGTCTCCACAATCAGCAAGGGTCCCTATCCTATAGGCTCAAATAGGAACCCTGGAAGAGCATTTCAGAGCAGGAAAATCTAATTTTCCCTGAGACCCAGAGAGAAAAAGGGGCTGGTCAAAGCACTGGGATAAGATCCAGGTTTCTAGCGCTGAACTGTCCAAGATGGAAGCCATCAGCCACACGTGACAGGAGGCTGTCTGAATTGAGTTGTGCTGTACAAAATACAGACCAGATTCTGAGGATTTAGTACCAAAAAATGCAAAATATCTCAATAATTCTTATACTGGTTACATGTTGAAATGACAGTACTTTGGGGTATACAGGGTTAAGTAAAATGGGTTATTAAAATCACCCATTTCTTTTCACTTTTTAAAAGACAACTACTAGGAAATAACAGGCGCCTCACATTACATTCCCATGGGACAGTGCTGCTCCAGTGCCTCAGAAGGTTGTGAGGTTGGGGTCGTCCACTGTGCCCAAGCAAATGTGTCCAATGTGGTGCCTTTTCAACATTGTTTAAGGTTTAAAGGTTACCTAACAGTTATTAAGACTATGACAGGATGTTAGGAGGTGAGTGAAATCAAAGATGGCACTCAGAATGTCAATGTGTGGTTGACACCCTGGCGGTCAGAGCTCAGGCACATAGAGATGGGGGCATGGGGCCTTTCTATGACTCTCCTCAACATGTACACACACCAGGCCACAGACCCAAGAACCAGGCCACACCCCCGAGCCTTGCCCAGTCCATTGTTTCCTGCTGGCCAGAGACTGGAAATTAAGATATGAGAACTGGAGTGTGCATTTTTGCAAATGCTATGGTCTGAATGCCAGTGTGGCAGTATTATGAGGTGGGACATTTAAGGGGTGATTGGGTCATGAGGGCTCTGCCTTCCTGAATGGATTAATCCATTCCTGAATGTTGGATTAATGGATTAATGGGATAATGGGTTATCATGGGAGTAGGACTGGTTGCTTTTTGTTTTTGGGACGGAGTTTCGCTCTGTTGCCCAGGCTGGAGTGCAGTGGTGCGATCTAGGCTCGCTGGAACTCCACTTCCCGGATTCAAGCAATTCTCGTGCCTCAGCCCCCCAAGTGGCTGGAATTACAGGTGTGAGCCTCTACGCCCGGCTAACTTTTGTATTTTTAGTAGAGATGGGGTTTTACCATGTTGGCCAGGCTGGTCTCGAACTCCTGACTTTAAGTGATTTGCCTGCCTCAGCCTCTCAAAGTGCTGGGATTACAGGCATGAACCGTCGCAACTGGCCTTGACTTGTGGCTTCTTAAGAAAAGGAAGAGAGATCTGAGCTAGCATGCTCAGTTCCCTGCCCGGCACCCCTCAACCCCTCGCCATATGATGCCCTATGCCACCTTGGGACTCTGCAGAATGCCCAGCAGCAAGAAGGCTCTCGCCAGATACGACTCCTCAACCTTGGACTTCTCAGCCTCCATAGCTGTAAGAAATAAATTCTTATTCTTTATAACTTACCTAGTTTCAGGTATTCTGTTATAAGCAACAGAAAATGGACTAAAATAGCAAATGAAGCCAAAACCAGGGCAGGGAAAGTGGAGAGATGGGCCTGGGCTGGTGGAAGACAGTGAAGGACAGAGAGAAGAGTACCCTCTGTTTTGCTCCCGCCACCTTGTACAACTACCCCCTCTGCAGGACCTCCTGCTGTGCTCACCCATAGGTCAGTTTCATTCCTTCCTCCCTCCTAAACTTCGACTCCTCCACCTCCGGGTAGACCAGCTTGGAGAGGGCCAAAGCACAAGGGGCAGCCATCACGGAGGCTGCAATCAACGAGGTGGCATCGATCTGCAAGAGTGAGAATGCGGGTTCTAGGTGGACAGTCAGAAGAAATGCTGGCGACCAAGGAGTGCGGCCTAGGGCAGCAAGGGCACATGTGTAGTCTGTCCCACTGATATGTCCTCATTGTCATAACTGCTGTCATCACTAATAATAATACCTTTTATGTGTCGAAGGTCACAGGCTATATGTATAGGACCTTCTATTTCTTCCTGGTGCTTCCCTAAGTTAGGAATGACAAATATTATTATCCTCATTTTACAGACAAGAAAACTGAGACTCCAAAGGATGAAATACGGCTTCCCAAAATAAAGGAAGAGAAGGAATTAAAGCCCATCACATCTTTTGGCTCCAAGTTCAAGATTCTTTCTTCCTTTCTAGGCTGTCACTGTTGACCACTAATCCCCGTGAGCTGAGGTTTCCCCCTTAGTGGAGGAATTTGTGATGGTTTCAGACAAAGCTCTAGAACCTGAGAGTTGAAATGAAATGGATTTAAGAGCTAACCCAATTCCACCTTAGTGTAGGTATGTACTAGCATAGGAGGGTACTCCCTCTCTAGGCCCTCTCTTTGAATGCTTACTGTGACAGGGAACTCACCATTACAAGGCAACCCATCACATCCAATCCTGCAGTTTGAGAACTCCTTCTCAGGAAATCTGCCTCCTATGACAGCCACCGTTTGGCCCCGAGTCTCCTTCTGGGAGCCACACTATGAAAACCCTTTCCAGCAAGATGGCAGAGCAGTGTCGGCCCCTGGGATTCTCCCTTCCAGAAATTTTTGTCTTCATTGTGACCCCAAACCCTTCGCTTCTCTATTCTTTTCCACAGAGAAATATGACATGTTTTCCCCATCACTGTATCATTTACCAAGCAGGGAAACCAGAACCAACTCAGACATCTAACAATGGGAGACTGGCTAAGCATCATCAGGCTGTCATTGAAAACGATGGTCATCAAGGCCTCACAATGACATGGGAAAGGGCCCACAACATTGCAGGTAGAGAATAAACAAAACTGGGGGCAGTAGGGAAACAAACTCCACAACGATGCATGAAAAGATTAGAAAGAAATACACCAAAATGGCAATGAATTGACTGTCCATGGCTAGTGGGGCCAGGGGTGATTTTCTTTATTTTTTCTTCTGAGACAGAGTCTTGCTCTGTCACCCAGGCTGAAGTGTAGTGGTGCAATCTTGGCTCACTGCAACCTCTGCTTCCCAGGTTTAAGCAATTCTCCTCCCTCAGCCTCTGGAGTAGCTGGGTATTACAGGCATGCGCCAACCCGCGCCCAAGATAATTTTTGATATTTTAGTAGAGGATTGGTGTTTCACCATGGTTGGCCAGGGCTATGTCTCGAACTCCTGACCTGTGATCTGGCCCACCTGGCCCCCCAAAGGCTGGATTACAGGCATTGAGACCACCATTCCCTGGCCAATTTTCTTTTCTTTCTTGCATTTTGGTATCTTTCTTTTCTTTTTTTTTTTTTTTTTTTGGTTTCTGTTTTTGGAAGGACAGGAGGTCTCGGCTCTTTCCCCAAGGCTGGAGTGCAGTGGTGCGCTCCTTGGGCTACTGCAAAGCTCCGTTCCTGGGTTCCACGCCATCTCCTGCCTCAGGCCTCTGAGGTAGCTGGGGACTACAGGCGGCATCTGCTACCTGCGGCAGCTAATTTTTTTTTTTTGTATTTTAGTAGAGCGGGGTTTTCACCGTGTTACCAGGGATGATCTCAATCCTTCCCGGAACTCGTTGATCCACCCTGGCCTTGGCCTTCCCCCAAAGGGATTATTAGGCCATTTTTTGGTATCTTTCGGAAAATTGTCCACGACATATTTTTGGTTAATTAAACAAAGACAAAATTTAGATGTTCTCTTAGTTTGGTAATAAGCCAACTGCTTTCTCAAGTGTTAAAATAAAATAAAAGAGGGAAGGAGTAAGTTTGAAGACCGAACATTCCAGGCTGATAAAAGCAGAGGGCAGGCCAGAACACAGTGGCTCACGCCTGTATCGCCCAGGCATTTTTGGGAGGGGCCAGGGGGCAGATCACTTTGACGTCAGGAGTTCAAGGACCCAGGCCTGGTTCAAACATGGTGAAACCCCATCTCTACTAAAAAACACAAAATTAGGGCCGGGCGCAGCGGGCTATGCCTGTAATCCCAGCACTTTCAGGAAGGCAAGGTGGAGGATCCACAAGGTCAGGAATTCGAGACCAGTGGGCCCTAGAAGAAAAGCCCCTCTCTAGAAAATAGAAGAACATTATCCAGGTGTGCGGTGTGTGCTGTAAGTGCGCGCGTAGTGGGAGGGCGAGGAGGGGAATCGGAGCCCAGATGCGGATGGGGGTTGCAATGAGCCCGAGATCGCCACAATTTTGCACTCCAGCCCAGGGCAACAGTGGCAGACTCCATTCTCAAAAAAAAAAGCAAAAAAAACAAAAAACAAAAAAATTACGGCCTGGGTTGTGGTTGGTGGGTTGCCTGTAAATCCTAAGCTCCTTGGGGAGGCTGGAGGCACAAGAATGTGGATTGAACCCGGGGAGGCAGAGAGTTGTAGTGATCTGAGCACTTTCCAGCCCGGGGTTGTGACAAGGAGTGAGACTCATCTTCAAAAAAAAGAAAAAAGAAAAGCAGAGGGCAGATCATGGGCACCCCTCATTACCATCTCAGGGAAGTGCCAGGCCTGCTGCTGAGAAGCCAGGCTGGAGACCCTCTCAGACTCTGAATCCAAGGAATTGTGTCTTTCTTCTTTTTCTAAACTCCAGTTGTTTCTTTTTAATGATCGACAAAACTCCTTAAAACGTGAACAAGAATTGGCAGCAGCCTGATACCTCCCCAGGGCCCTGTGTGGACACTGGGTGTGCAAGCCTGGGCCCCTGCCCCTTGCTGGATGAAGCCCACTCGGGGCAGGTGTCCTCTCTGGACTTTCTGGGCCAGGCTTTGCGACTTCACCTGCTTCCTCCTCAGTTGCCCAGCCCCAGCTGGGATGGTGCCACACCTGGAATCTTGGTATTTTCCTTCCACTAGGCAGGATCCTGCCACTTCCTCTGACTTGTAGATTACATCTGGTTTGTAAACCTGAGTCACAGCAGGGAACACACCCTGCAGTTGTCACATTCCTGGACACTGTCCCCTGGGTGACCCAGTTGTGGTCACAGCCTCAAATCTCCTCCTGCCCTTGGCCCTCCCAAATAATGGAATTACAGGCATGCAGACACTGCAACGCAGACCTAGTAAGCTACAAGTTTTCTTTGTTTTTTATGAAACAAGAGTCGTGCTGTGTTGCCCAGGATGGAGTGCAATGCCACGATCGTTTCCGGTTCACCTGCAACCTCTGCCTCCTGCGATCAACCAATTCTCCACTCAGCCCTCTTAAGCTAGCTGGAAGTAAGGCCCTGACATCCATGCCCGCTGGGGGGCTATTTTTGTATTTTTGTAGAAAGCGCCGGTTTCTCCATGGTCTGCCCAGGCTGGGTTTGAACTCCCTGACCTCAGCTGATCACACGTCTCGGGCCTCCCCAAATGCTGGGGAATTACAGTGTCCGACCAAACATTTTACAAAAGGAAAAGAAATAGGTTAATTAATTTTAATAATGTTCATTTCTTAATTTAATATTTAACTCAATATATCCAACATATTTCTTCCAACCCAG